AAGTGTCAAGTCGTTTTACTTAGTGATGATAGAGTTCGGACAATAAATCGCTAATAGGTTTTGACTCCAAATCATTGACGAGTACTTTGAAAAGGTGTGGCGATAAGAAATGACATCTACGAGGGCGGTAAGGAGTGAGCTCAAAGTCACCCCGTGTAGACTTACTGAACTGTACTGCGTCGAGAAGAAGAATTGCTCGCAGACTCAGGCAAACTCAGGTGGAGGAGAAGGCAGATGCGTAGGCAAGCAAAACGATCGCTGAACTTGAGAGCAAAAGACGGTGTTGACCGTTACTTTAAAAAAAATAACAAATATGTTTCGTGACTTGTGTTGAAAAGCCATTGTTTTTGTGGAAGACTGGTGATATGTTGTAAAGCTTCCCTACCACACAGCATGTCCCAGTTTTCCTTAGAAACTTTTGGCCAATCTCCGATTTGTAAGCTTAACTTTCACTGCTGATAAGGTTTGCCACAAGGTCTCTGCAGCATATCGACAACGTCGTGAACCGCCTAACGAGAAGCGAAAAGCCACTATCAATGGGAAGACGCGAACCTTGGTGGCAAGAACAATATGCACGGATACATTTTTTAATGTAAACTACCAATCCTGGAAGGATGTTGCTTCAAGGTAAAAGTTCCTTCGAAAGTATGCTGTGGTAAAATCACCTTTCAAAACGAATTCATCACCGTCGTTTCGAGATTCCACACTGTTCAATGAACTCCTCCATCTCCCTTGGCAGGTTGGGCACGCTGAGAAGCCAGCTGAGAGCCTCCTTCAAATTCTCGTCAGTCAGTCGAGAGGCAATGGGTCCGGCATACCTAAGAAAGTTCTTTTCAATCGTTAAACTTTTTCTATTTTTTTCAGACTTCCTTGCAGTCACGATTGTATCAGTGTAAAAGAGGAAGTGTATCCACCCTCGAAGCCGTTTAAGGGGTCGGGAAAGTATTACAAAGAATTGGAGAAAGGTGTTACGCATTGTTGACTGCCAAAAGAAGGCTATCCAGGCATGTAGTAGGTTGCCGGCCACCGCAAAATTACCTATTAGATCATGAAGAGTGAGGTGAAAGAGTAATTTTATTAGCACATTCGGTTCATAGATAGTGTGACGCCGCGATCCGTAGAGAAAATCTGTCAGGAAAAGCGTAGCAATAGCCTTAGCAATCATGGCCACCGCCATGAAGGTTGCATGCACGTAGACTACACGCAGACACTCTTGGGTACGGAGGTTCCTCTCTCTCAAGCGTTTAAGGTTGTCAAAGAGGGGGAATTTGGAGTCGGTAGAGAATAGTATGCAACTATTGGTGCGACCTAAGCGAAGGTATATTCGACGGAGATGGAAACAGGCTATCAGGATTACAAGGGACTGCATAATTCCATCACAAAACAGAGCTTTGTGGACCATATGCAAGGTGACAAGTATTTGTGACCACTCAGGATCGGGGAGACAGACAAGACGGTTTCCGATGACCCAGACTCCGTGGACAGCAGCTGTGGAGATTGCCTTGAAGGCCCCGACGAGGACACACAGCGCGTTAAGCACGGCAATGCTCAAGGTTATACGTTTGCGTTCGGAGTGGAGTTCAATGGAGAAGACATGGAGGAGGCAGTGGGCCATGAGTAAATTAGCTTTGGAGGCGGAGAGAAATGTGCTTAAAAAGGAGTAGTACTTACAAGCCTTGTGGCTAGTCACAGCCACTTCAATCGCCCCGCTGTCTATCCAAGGCAGTCCACGAACAAGCAAGGAACCGAGCACATTGTCAGTCACGAGAGAGAGGAGAACAAGGACTATGTAGGAGATGCCGAACTCTCGATGATAACAGCTACGTGAGCTCATAAAAATAAGGACAAGGAGGTAGAAGAGATTGAACAAGAAGGCAAAAACTATCAGCGGGAGGGACACCAGTATGGTGATGAAGGTGCCGTTAATTACGAAGGAGGACTCAATGCTATTGTACATGCCGACCTCATGAAGGAAGAAGCCCTTACAGTTAAGTTTTGCATTTCCTCCCAATTCGTAACAACTTTTTATTGTTTTGGACGAATCCCTGTCTTTGTGAACCTTGCCGAGTTGACGCTGCATCAGCTGATTTCGATCAACCCAAATGAAATGGCCTCAGAGATGGCTGAAAGCTGTGCCACCGTCTGCAGTTCAAATGAAGCAATCCAATAAAGGCAGCGCCCGTAACGAGGCGGTTAAGTGTGCTTTTAAAAGAATTAATACCATGACAACACTTCCTGATCTCATAAGGCATCATGCGGATATAAAAGTGAGAATTTAGGCGTATTCGTGGGCTTTGCCGCCGGGTGAATGAAAAGTAGTCACATTGTAATCTCCGTCTCCTCGGCATTGTACACTTTTTAATTTCCGCAGCACGCGGTGAGCGCCAAGGAATCATTAACATCTAAACCATGGAGTTTTCTTGTAATTAAGAGTCTAATAGTCGAGGTCTAAAGCCATCCTTGAATGAATTAGGCTGCTTTGAGACTAGGGGCCAAGAATAAAGCGAGTTTTCACTTAGAATTAATTCACGTGGGGAGTGGGTGAGAGGTCTGCTGGGTGTTCACTCCGAAAGAAGGGCGTGTGCCTTTTTACGGTCACCAAGACAATCAGTTGAAGGGATATTGCGTTTTCGGGACAAAAATCTTCGCAGTCATGGTAACCGGTGGGCAGGAGAACGTGCTTGCCCCGGAGCAAGGCTCTATATAGAACGGACCTGATGCATTTACCTCCATCGCCTTATCCCATTGCGCGCCAAGGGACAAAAAGGTGCGATTAGCCCTAATATCGTGGTCACCGCAGTGGAGGTGATCTGTTCTGGAGGCGAACACGATATACCTCTGCCAGTGGACGGGTGGAGATACACGTCATCCTTTTCGCCTTTGTGACTCATGCAGTCCCGACAAGCCCCTAATAGTCAAAATTGATAGCAGTCTACAATTTCTTTTTTTTTTAATTCAGGGTATTTAGCATAACTTACTGAAATCAAATCTTGATTGTTGTTACTGTTGTGGCTTCAAGGTCTCGTCACCGTTGCTGTCTATTGCTGTCCTTTTTGCTATGAAACGATTGAAGAGGTAGAAATAGTAAAATGGATTGCAGCAAAGCAACAACAGTTCTGCCTCTCCTAAATTACGATCAGAGTAGGTCCAAGACACGGCGCAAAACTTCCACCAAGAATGTCATGCGAGCACAAAGGCGTAGTAAAGTAGAGCAACTTGCATGGCACCCACGTATCATGGACTTGAACTGGAAGGGCAAACAATAAATTCGTGAATGCAAACGAGACCGCTAGCAATGGAAAATGTGAACAAAAATACGCAGAGGCGTTTAAATTTCCACAGGTGAACGACATGATACTTGAGACTCATCTGCGCAATCACTTGCATTCCGGCGAATTGGTCGAATGATGGAGACAAATTCAACGTTACAATTAGGATAAGGAAAATGATTGAATTCTCTAGGGAAAGGTAGACTAATGGATGTTTCAAATACAAATTTATGCACTGCTACGCATGATGTATGACGATTAAATTGCTACAGGAATGGCGAAAGCGACATGATGACTTTCTAGTGCCACTCAGAGTGCAAGCAATATGGAGAAATAGACTTTATCCAGTCAACGCGAAGCTGCGCCAGTCATAGTTTGCCGATTTCCAACATCTAGTTTCTGTAGTTCCAAACATTCGAACCACCAAGAGGTCAGGAGGACATGCATACTGACCCCATTTTTGTTGATCAAAATTTGAGTTAAGTGTGCATCATGTGCCATTTAACGATTCGAGTTGGATGACCTAAATCGTTGCGCCCACAGCTAGCTAAAATAATGATGCAAACTACCCGGTGCCGACAATGATGACATTAATGTTCTGATGGCGGTACGGGAGTGGTTCAAATTTGCAGCTGCAAGGCACATATGCGCTTTTATAAAGGCAAAATCCACAATTCCTTTCCTGGGTGAACACAATTTACGAACGCTCTTTCATATGATAGTAAAAGGCAAATGATCTCCCACCTCCGACACGATCTCCGCAGTGAGTAAAGAATGGCAGACAGCGAAACTAGAACACTAGTCAACAACTCATCCGATTATGCAAAGGAATCGCTTCACCAGACTATCACAAGTCGCTGCGATTTATTCAGGCTGCTTGACAAAGGATCCAACTCTCATCGCGTACACTGCTTGCCCTCACGGTTTATGCACTCGCAGTTAGTGACCAAAGGCAACTCTACACACACGTTCATCTGCCGTGTGCGTCGCAGCAAGATACACAGGAATAAGACAGATGTTAAATGGAGAGAACCTCACAAAATCCACCCGCATTCTCCAACATACAAACAACCGAAGCACGATCAAACCGAGTCCAATACATCTGATCGGTACAAATAACCAATTAAGATATTTATAGACACCAAGTGAAGACGAACCCCACTAGCTTAAAGCCAGACAATCAAATTATATATATTTTATTAAATGATTACGAAAATGAGTAAAAACAGAAACGATTTTTGAATAATATTGAGGGAAATGGAAAAACGGAGAGCAAACTCGAAAATATCCGTAGAAAAATCAACACAAGAAAATCATCCGAAAAAGGTCACAGAATTCTCAGCAGTTTCGATGAAGCCCCATCAAATAACAAGTCTTCACAGGAACGTTCCTCACCTACAACGATTCACAGGGCAAAGTTAACCGTTACAATGTAGCCTACTTTCTTGGTCCAATGATAGTGGTCCGGGACGCCATGAACTAGAAATCCCATTGACATTATCGAACACGTCTTCCACGTAACCACCCAAGACAAACGCATCCGAATAATCTAACACATTAGATACTAATTTGAAATTACCACACTCCGAAGCAGGGAAATAAGATTCTGTTCCACAATCAAAAGAAAATCCTACGCGACCTTCCTTGGTTTCTGGTGCATTGGCCACCGGCATCATTACATTTACATCGACAACATTTAGTCCCTTTCTCCTGTTCAAACCACCGGCTTTATTTGCGCGTTTCAATTGGCCATCGTAAGCACTATTCTCGTTGTTCGGCAAAGACAGCATGCTCAGATTTCAAAAGTGTCACTAAACTGATAGTAGCTCAAGGAGCGACTAGTGCAAGTTATCGAGGCACTAAAACAATTTTTGTCGAAGCAAATTAAGTCCCAATCGCTAAAATGTTTAAAGTAACATAATCATAGTTTTAAGCTATTAAAAATCACTCTAATATTTATTAGGTTTTACACGATAATGGTAGTTTTTTCATAAATTTGCATTAAAACCTACTTTACACTAGCATTTTTGATAACCAAATTGTTAGATTATTATAGAACACGTAAGACATAAAACACTTCAAATAATTATTGTACGAGTGTTTTGTAGCATCTCAAGTCTTCCCGCATGGTGGAAGGATGCAGTAATAGGGGCTGGATACATTTATTCCAAAGGGAACGGTGCAAATGTGCCTGAGCGTGGCCCAAAGGGTCATTCCAGGAAAACAAGAACCAGACAAATCCCAAAGTGACCTCCGAACCTTAGCTAGTCAAATAGATAAAGCATTACACTGCCCCTCTTCCCTTGGTACGCCCCCCGCGCCATCCATCACAGCATAATGGGTGTAGCGTCCCGAGGCTTCCAATGGGGTAGTAGGAGGCATAAGTGAGGCTAAATACATGTATTCAGAAAACACTAGGAGAAATGAGGCCTGAGCGTGGCCCGAAGGCCAGCCCACGTGTACAGGGCCCAGACAAGTTCTAAAGTGTCCGCCAAACGTCAGATAGTCACATAAACAAATCATTACAATGAGTACTACAAGGAAGCACCTACGAGTCAACCGCGCCAGTCGACAGTTAACATGAGACTGAGGACCATACCCGGAGCTGGAGTTATGTTCGATCTGACAACCAGTTTCGGGGCTGCATACACCTGGTGACCACCAACTGCTTCTAGGACAAGACGGAGGAGCGGAATTTCTCACTATCCCATATGTAAGGAGAACCGTAGTGTCATTTCCGACACTTATACACGGATTTTATAGAAGAATTTCCGACTCGAAAGTTTTCCAGATGGTTCACGGCCGTGTCGCTTCAATTGTTAATATCTTGTCTCTGGAACACGGGAATAAGATGAAAACAAATGCAGACGTCAATCTAATTCCTATTGTTGTGAAGGATTCAGGGATTCCCCCGACACCGAGGTAATTGCGCCTCCTGCACACCGTAGGCACATGCAACAAACGGTACGTGCTAGGATAGAGGTCATTGGAAAAATGTCCGGTTCGCTTTACACTGCCACCATTGTAGCATCCCGAGACTTCTCATACGGTGGAAGAAGGCTGTAAGTGAGGCTGGATACATGTATTCCGAAGAGAATAGAGCAAATTGACCTGAGTGTGGCCCGAAGGTTAGCCCAGGAGAACAAGAACCAGACAAATCCTAAAATGACTTTGAACGTCACGTAGTCACATAAACAAAGCATTGCAGTTTCAAATAACATAATAAAAGCCAATCTTTGTTGCATAAGCATAAATAACAATGGTTAGTTACCCCATTCGACTTGATGTTTCCTGATTACACGGGATTGTCTAGCTGACGGGTTCTCATACAGGCAATCTGATTGACAGGTCACTTCACTTTCCAACATTGCATGGTCCACCTACATTTCGGCCTGCTATTCAATTCGATTTTTTGCATTGGTCCACTATTTTGACTGACTCCTCATGAGTTAATATAAATTAAACAGAGATGCAGTGATTTACTAACTATTCATTAACTGGAAATCATAGCACCCAGTATTAATAAGCGGACGGCTTAGATACTATTGACAGAGGATCATGCTGTCGTGCAGACGGACAAAACAGGGTACATGCGGACGGGATCTCAGCCCTGAAATTTGCCTCCTGCTTAAGTTACATTCCTCACACAAACTAAGGGCGGATAACGACATGCAGGAACACTTGGGCCGCTAAGTCATTGGAAGTAACGGACACCACTATCCGCTTGGGGTCTCTGCGGCATAAGGATAAACATACGGAGATTTATTAAGCACCAAAATTTTATCAGAATGTTGTATAATACAAATGTGTCCTTGGAAACCGACAAAGAGTACGTAGAATGATGTGGCTTTGAAAGCACTGAAAACCATATTTGGTAAATAGAAATATGCATCAAAGTTGTGTTGCCCCAAGGTGACGAAAGACAGGAATTTTGCGGAATTCAGGATTGCCTAAAACAAGTTAACGAAGAGTCATCAGCTGAGTGAAAAACTCTGCCAGCAAACCCCAAATTTAAGTAGACAAACCAGCCGCAAAGTTCGTCAGCACAGACTAAGGCAGCATTAATGCAAAAACGTCCAGAAAAATATCTCGAATTTCCCATTGTAAACAGCGCTTCCTGTAATTGTAGCTGTAAAACCTTTAAGGGCGACCTTCATGCACTACTTTGAGAGAGAACTAGTGTCTCTCAGGCTTGCAAGGTTAGTCGCAAGCTCTGTCATTATGATCCAAACCCCAATTAAGAAAGTTGTTAAAATGAACCGACCTTGAGCAGCAGAGGGAGTGAGTCCAGCGGCCCCGCGCTGTCCACCATGAATCCTCACAGTCTGGCAAGGTCCAGTAGACCCGCCAGGAAGGTCATGCCACTCCTGGGAATCTGGTTTGGACGATTGAAGCGATAGCCCTGCTTCATCTTCAGCCAAGGCAACCAGACACAGGGACGTCCAAGCGGGAAGGGCGGGAGCCTCACAGGTGTCCGGCGGCACCACGTTCACGGGTAGTGTGAAACTGATTGACGGATACTCAGCGTTGCCCACAGTTGCGGTAAGACTAGAGTCCAGCGAGACGGCAATGCTCACCTCCACCTCATAACGGCACTAAGTGTGGACGAAGCAAGAAACAATAACTTTGAAATCAAGAATCAACTGGAATAATTACATGTCCTCCATGTTGAGATAAACAAGTAAGCTTCTTATATCAACATCCAACGGCCCCAAAAGATGATTCCCATCACCCCTCTCTCTTTAGCATCCAACGACTGTTAAGATAAGATGCCACTGCTACTGTTGTTTCCGGAGAGGCAATTATTGTTGAAAAGCATCAAATGTGTAAAAGAAAAAAATTTCACTCGATATATGGAAAAACTACTTTCATCTAAAATGGTACAACCGACCACTACCCTTCCGCGCAAATTGACGCTCTTTTTATCAAAGGAGAATCACAAATTTTGCGTCAATATTGGCGTCCATAATTTTCAGTGTATACAGGGGAAAGAAGAAAGATTATCACTTCTCACTAGCAGTGTTGCCATTCCCATTGCTAGACTGTAGAAAATTCGACAAAATCACTGTATGATGCAGATTCTTTGTACTTCTGAACAAAGTACGATATTGCTTGAATGGAACGGTGATGATGACATCTAACCCAACATTTAATATATTGTTTAGCACTTGCTATGTCCCATTAATCCTTTCGTTCTTTGCCCAATCTGTTGTAAGCGCAACTTAGTAATTCTCAATTCGGTTCGCGTTAACCTTGGCAGCGTAGGAATATAACCGACATGAATTCTCATGACACCCTAAGAAGTCAAAAACTGACAGAAGAAAGCACGATCTTAGTAGTAGTAACTCACCGGGCCATCATCGCAATTTTTAAACATAGCCAATCTTCCTGATATTGCCAGACACTTGCACATTAATTTCAAACCCTTTACAATCATTAAGGGTTGTCCTTGGTGTTTAAAAAATAAGACCGATGCTGAATCTATTTTCAAAGGGGGAAGTTAGGAGGCGTTTAGAAGATCAGAAGGATGATTGCGAAGTGAGCAAGTTCAAAAAGTGTATCAATTTCTACAAAGCAATTAGTTAGTGAAAAAGAGACCCGTATTTTGTTTTCATGTCTACAAGAACACGATTTACCATAAAAAAGAAGAAAAATTGTGGGATAACAGAAAAATAACGAGTAAGCCTATTTTCTCAAATATTTTTTTCGAAAACAAAGTCAAAAAATTTGTACAACACTGACGTAAACGCAAACACGGTATTCAGTCAGACCAATTTGTGGATGGAAACAAGATAAATCGCGAAAATGAACCTGAGTGGTGAAATCGGTGCAAAAAAGTGATCACCACTAACTTACAGAAAAGAGGGTACCGCTTGTCGTCCAAACGCAATCATTAAGGGAGGCACAAGGCAAGGGCAACTCAATCACATCCGTCGAAGTATCATGTGTTACTGCAGGGCGAATAACACCAAAAAGGACGTCAGAGATGTGGCTATCGTCAGTGGTGCCCGTTAAACTCGAATTCAGCTTCACGTGCCTTAGCAGCTGCAAGCCAAACAAGCGAAAGTAAAATCATGTGAAAAAAAATTTGGAACACGCGAAACCACCTGATTACGAAAGCATCACATGATTAAGCGAAGGGAAGTTGTTTTTGCTGCAGGCAGCGTACAGTATACATAACCAACAGGGTTGGAAAAAGTGATTAAACCGACTTACCTGAATTACAGAATAGACATAAGTGTCACACAACCAATAAGCAAATAATAGCTTACGCGGTAACTAATTGAGTCAATATGCATATGCTCCGAGATAGATGGAGAGGATATAATTGTCACGCAACTCCCTAGAGCATAGCAAGAATCCTTTGTAGCAGTCCTTAAAGAAACCCCAGAAAGGGTTGTTTTCGGAGCACTGATTGCAAATATCTCTTGTTTTTTTGTTAACTTTTCCACAACGAGTGTTGTATAAACCTCTGAAACCGAGGTTTCTGAGAATTGTATTTTTATGTTCACTTCCGGTCCATTTCTGCTAGATTTAAGAGTCTGTACAATACTCTTCGGTACTTCAGTAAAATTAACCGGAGAGAATGTAAAAAATTGCGATTTGGCAACAAAAATCGTACGAGAACCGTTTAAGGCACAAGCCGTCACATCATATTCGACCACGAGGCGATGAGAACCACTACTATTTGGTGTACTGTAAAAATAAGCACTGTCTGTAGGGGTTAGTAGTGCACAGACTCACTATCAACAGATGAAGGCAAATGTAATTCAAAAGGAAAGGAATAGTATCCTATTTCAAAGTTTTCTGAAAATGTAAGCGCACATTAAGTTAGCACACCTTGAAAACGAAATATTTCGATGGAAGATTGATTAAAACGTTTTTGGATTTCAATGCCTTGAATTGAGCCTTAAAAAACGGTATAGTTATAAAAAGAGGAGACTCACACTTTAAATTGCATCTTATTTGAGCAGTAATAGTTTTCACAGTTATCGGCTTCAGTCGCCGATAAAAGACAGCGCTTTAAACTAAAAATGCACGAGATCTTACCCATAAATAATATCGCCAGGTTTATAAAACCTTTCACTCAAAATCACCTCAATTCCATTCATAAATGTGCGCATACACACATCACATAATGATCAGCTGATAATAAACCAGTCACTTCATTACCTTGGTTCAAGGACGGAGGATGTAATACACCAGTGGTTGTCACGTCCTGTTGGTTCCAAAAAAGCTGATTATATAGAGAAAATACATAGCCAATATTCTAATTTTTAAATTTCAGTGCTTTCGCTACTTAACTTGCGACCACTGTGCTATAATTTACCGATGTGCTTTCTCATAAAAAAGAGGTCGTGGGTCCATTTTTATCTGCTAAATCAGTCATTATGGAGTTAGCATTGCCTCTCTTCTCCTAAGAATCTTGCTTGCTGCATGCAAATCTACTAATCTTTATTGCTGGGCTTCCTATTATTTGCATTTAATTGTGTGTTTCTTAATCGTTTTGTTGAGTAGCAATTAATTTGCATTGTAAGTTTTTCATTTTAGAATTTTGCAGCTGGTGTCTTAGTGCGTTTGAGTTATGCAGAATTCTTAAGCCCAACTAATTAAATTATGTGAACGCATAAAGGAAGTCGCACAATAATTTGATGGATGAGTGTCAAAACCTGCTACAGAGACTGAAAATAGCACGAAGGTGAAGGGAAACTATCTACTCTAAAGCGGTGCAAATTGGTCAACAAAAGGGAATGACACTTCTGACATTGGTGATGGGTCCACCCGCTCAGCAAATGGATTGGGTAACCCAAACCACTTTGGTCGAAAGTGATTGGCAAACCGACTGTAAACATGTCATTCGTTTTTATGCGCATTGATGGGGTTCATTCATGCATCGCCTTTAACATGTTGATATCGTGGTAGGCTTCCAAAAGTTCATTTTAATTGTTATCATTATAACGAACCAAAAGTAGCTTTGGGCTAGCATCTGAATTCAGATGAAATAGCAAACTTTAGTCACGCTAAAAAAGGGGTGGCAAGTGCCCTTGATGAGTTGATTTTTAACCGGAAACAGTGCTGAAATTCTGTCGTGCTGTTCATTTTCACAAAATACCTTTCAAATTTTTCCGAAAAGTTTGCAGAGAGTGAGCCAGGTAGATCAAATTTCCTTCGCGCATGACCTCCCTAAAATTCTTGACACGATGAATGATATCCGCTTAAAAATTCCCCAAAGAGATCCTGATTAACATCATGTGGAAGTTTCCTTTAATGCACTGAAGGTGATTCAATAAAAATGATGGTGCAGCTTTGTGCAAAGGTGAATGAACGCTATTACCGGTATATCAAGTTAATTTTTTAGCTTACAGCCTATAGTTTGACCCTTAAAATGTTGTCTAATTGTTCTTCATCCTAACCTTTGCGTAGCAAGTATGTCTATAGCACATGAAGTCCACAGGGAGGGCTGACGACAGATAGTATATGGAGGAATGAAGTAAAGTGATGCATATTTTGCGCTTCACAAAGTTTTTTTAGTGCCAACGCAGGTGTCAAATGGAAATGGCCAAAGTTGGGTCGCCGTTCCAGTGCATAAGTGATCAACTGACCCTAACAGCTACCAATGCCATCACATATCACCATCCCCGGTCTTGTTGATATTCAATCCAGATATTTAGAGAGAGGGAGAGAGAGGAAATGGATAAGGAGGCGTGACTAGGGCGATCTCTCCTAGTCATGCTTTTTATATCCCCAAATTTTTTATTGAGATCGTCGGGACGCATAAATCAGACCAACGAACTAGGCGGTCTAGCGAGGTAACTTGTGCATTCAAAGGGAACAGCCCTTTACCAAGCATTCCTTAAATGAATGGAATCGAGTTCTTTTGGTGTTGGCAACGTTGTAGGTGTATCCCAAAGAAAACCAGAGCCTCGAGACATCCTCCCAAGATAAATGCAGAGTGTAGATTTTCACTGGAGAAAAAGGCTGATGAGGTAACTTAGAGGCTGAGTGCAGCATCAGAGCAAGGCAATGTATTGCTGACGAGGATTTTTGAAGGAAAAACCCGACCTATGAGTAGGCAAACAAAAAATGCTTGTAATCTCGCATAAAAGTAAACAAATTTTTTAATAGGTAATGAGCTCAGTAGTTGAGGCCACCCGAATACTCTGCGGAAGCATGCATTGAATGCAATGGCAATGCATAAAAGCAGTAGAATGGTGTAACAAAAAATAAAGCATTTCATCTAATCCGACAGCGACAGCAGACTAACTATATATTTTGATTTACAACGCTGGAGCACGGCGTGACACCACCTCCATCACCAGTGCCACCACCGCTAGCACTACTACTACTACTACTACCACCACCACCTCACCCGTTTTCTCACTTCGATTTCGCAAGGGATTAAACTTTGACAATCAAACAGAGTTGATACACCACACTACCTAACGTGATTTTGGCATCATTCCTCACAGAAGTA